TTCCCCAAGTTGCCGGAATGTGACGTGTCCTAATTATATCAGTACACTCGTAACAACCTAATCATTACGAAACTTCTATTCAATCAAATAAGCCGCACTTAGCAAATAAGCCACTCAATTTTTTGTTAATCAAATTTGACACTCTCTCATTGACCTCCATACAAAAACTCCTCCTGCTGGAGAAGAAAGATTTTGGCCCCAGTTACAGTATCCCTCTCACTTTGCCTTTTCCTTTCTGGTTCAACTCAGGATAATGGGTCATACGAAAGTGGCTCACCTTTTAGCCAGGCATATTTCTATGGCAACGACTCCTTCAGAACTACCCTGCTCCAGGGCAGGCTAACTCACGGCTACCTCCACTTACCCTGAATGAAATCCCTGAGCTGTGAGTTGAGGAATGTGAAGCTAACTGAAGCTGGTTAGCTTTAGAAAACCCTGAGTAGATCTAGCTTGCTTGTAGGATACCCCTCAGCACTGGTACAAGGCTGTATTAACTAGCTACATTTGCTCTAAGTACATCTTGTTGCATCTGCAGCGTTGACCATGCAGACAGACTGTCACTGCAAGTGAAAGGCAAGTGGTTATGACCGGTGGTAGAGCAAAAACTGCTATCCTTGAGTGAAAGGGAGCGGGGCTTGGTGTGTGTGGAAGGAGAGAGAGATGACTCAAGTAGCAAACAAATAAACTACAAAAACAGACATTACACACGGCAGAGTAGCGTAACACATTTAACAAACCAAAATTTGAAATACCGTAATACAAGGTAGATTAAAAGTCCAAACTGGTCCGTGCATCAATACCGGTATATAGTAAAATACGGTATACCGCCTGAAGTGTGGTCCTCTGTAGCTCAGCTGGTAGAGCACGGCGCTTGTAACGCCATGGTAGTGGGTTCGATCCCCGGGACCACCCATACACAAAAAATGTGTGCACGCATGACTGTAAGTCGCTTTGGATAAAAGCGTCTGCTAAATGGCATAAAAAAAGTGAGAGTATGATTATTTCAAAGTCAAGGATTTCTCAAAATGATAGCTTGAGAGGATAGGAAAGGAAATGAGAGGAGAGGAATAGCATTGGGGTAAGGGTTGAGGGTCAGGGTTGAACCGGGAGGTGGACATTAAGCTAGGGTTGTGGTTGAGGCTTGCGTTTTGGTTTTGGTTTTAGCATTTGAATCTTGTTAAAACACCCAACACTACCACTCAGAGGGAAAAACTTTTCTTATACTCTTCACTCTGCACTGTCAGAGAATCGTCCAACCACAACTTCCACACTTCACCTGTAAGTAAACACAGGACGATTTTACTCCAATAGAAAAAGATTAGAGTAAATTCAGAGAGTTAAAGCTAACGGCTCTTTAGATTTACTGGTAGGAAGTACAAAACGTAGGCCCCATCGCTAACCACCCCATACAGACAGTGATATCTCCCTGTGTGAGTGATGTGGTCAATAACTGCTGAGTCTGGTGTCCGCCATTTTAGCTGCCATCTTTCTCTATGCATTTATGCTGCGCTTGGGAGATTCCCTGGCTCCGGCATCTGCTGATTGCCCCTACACACTAATCTATTCTCATAGCTTATTTATACTCTGTTCACTCTGTCCCCACGGGTAAAAGCTTTTGAAATCACTTATCTCCATCAAGGGAAGAGAGAAGGAGAGAGGAGGAGAGAGAAGAGAGAGAGAGTGAGACAAGGAGGAGGGGAGAAAAAAAAAGACTACTGATGTTACCTTTTCTTCCGGGTTTTTTATGCTTGTTTTTTGCAGCTCATTTTTGCTAGTGGCTAAATGGCTGGAGGCCAGAGATACTGAGGTGAGGGTGTACAGGGGTGTGTGGGGGTGGGGGGTAGAGGGGGTTAGTGTAGTGCTGACAGTGTGTTTGTGAAGTGTGTATGTGCGTGTGTGTGTTGAACAGGAGGAGTGCTGGGATTGAGCCAGGACAGGACAGGACAGGGAATTGGTCAGTATCAAACACAGAGCTGCTTTCCCAATCCAAGCCGCAAGATGGCAGCAGAAGACCTCTGCAAAACCAGGAGCCTTTAGAAGTGATTCAATGGTTTTACTGTCGCAATAAAGTTGTGAAATTGCATAATTGCTCTTATTTCTGTGTGTGCATGCATGCATGGAGAATGAAATAAAGAGAGGGAGGGTGAAAGGGAAAGGGAGAAGGATATGGAGAGGGAGTGGGAGGGCGGGAGAGAGAAGGAGAAGGAGGAGAGGGAGAGAGAGAGAGAGAGAGAGAGAGAGAGAGAGAGAGAGAGAGAGAGAGAGAGAGAGAGAGAGATGAGAGAGGGAGGGAGGGAGGGAGGGAAGGAAGGAAGGAGGGAGGGAGGGAGAGGGACAGGGACAGAGAGAGGGAGAAGGAGAAGGAGGAGAAGGAGAAGGAGGAGGAGATGGACAGAGAGAGGGAGAGGGAGAAGGAGATGGACAGGGAGAAGGAGATGGAGAAGGAGAGAGAAAGTATTAACTACAGTAAGAAAGACAGAGGCATAATATTTGCTGTCCCTAGGTCTGTGTTTGGGTTGGTGTGCTTTGTTCTCCCAAGCACATTCCACTGTGTCCACTGAGAAAGTTTGGCAGGTACACACCATCAAACAGCGAGAAGAAATAGAGACAGGCACACACACACACACACATACACACACACACACACACACACACACACACACACACACACAAAACTAAACAAGCATGCAAGACCACCATATATCTCATGCACCCTATCCCTCAAACAAACAACAGAGCATTATTTATTTTTCTTTTTAATGAATATGGCCCATATACATACTCAACTTAATCATATCAAAACTACTTTCAAACAATGCACAGTGGCTGAACAGCATTAGTCAAACAGTCTATTATATAAAACATGTACGTCTGCATGCACTAAAACATTTCCTGGCATTTCTGGTCTTGGCTAAGTATTTCCTGGGGTCTAATTCCAAACCAAATTCAATATCTGGCCTTTCTCCCTAGATAATTTTTTCGCTCATCTTTCGCTAATAAAAAAGGATTGGATGACTTTGTCCGGACCCTGTTGCCTGACCAGGAAAAATAAGTTAACTAGGACCCAGGGATAGGGTGTGGGGGTTTGGTTTTGAACGGGGCCCAACTAGGACCCAGGGCTGGGGTTTGGTTTGGAATGGGGCCCTGGCCTCGGAGGCTAACGGTGAGCTCTAGGGACGTCAACTCGCATAATTTTATTTTTTCTGAAACCACCCTGGACATTTTCAATGACTCAAGGTTTCATGGAAAGTGAATACTGGCTTGTGGCAAAATATTTCGGTAGATATTTTTTTCACCACTGAGGTCTAACACGTTACACTTGATATTACAATATGTAAAAATAAAATAAACATAGTATATATCAAAAACATTGCACAACATAATAAAAAACATTTAACAGTTAAAGCACCATGTAGTATTATTATTGTATATGTAACTGATTTTGCCCTATACGATTTTCATTTCCATTATTGCTGAGCCGATATTGTACCTTCAGTAAAGCTGAGTCTATTGTTGTATTATGGAGGCTTGGTTACATCCACAGTGGAGCAATATTGTCAATATTGGCGCTGGGTTTTTTATTCAAATATTCAAAGGGCAATCCCACCCTAGTACAATAACTCCACAGACAGGGCTGACTACAGTCTACAAATGTCAGACAGACAACACTGCATAAATGGAGTGACCTTTTCTATTTGAATGGAAAGAGGTTTGCTTACAGGTTTTGAATGCCCACAGTCATTGAACAACCAGAATACAGCTATGTGAATGAATGTACAGCTATGCCATGCTTTGTCTCATTCCCTTCTAGCACCTGTTTCTTTATCTAGTCCAGGTTATTGTATGACTTGTTTTATGATATATGAAGTATACCTGTGTAGCCTGTGTTCATCCGATCAGGGAATAAAGCCTGAATGACGAGATATAAAGTGTTCCAACTCCTGTTCACTGTGAATTAGTCCTTTTTGGAAGTTTTTCCTGGGAAAGCCCTTTCACTACTTATTTTAGGATATGTTTACAGTGTAATTTAAGAGCAATCTTTGTCTAACTCAAAAAGATGATATATCTCTACATCTACATGTGAAAGCTATGAGGAGTGCTCTTAACCTAACATATGGTTTATCTGAGTGCAAAGTTGGTAAGAATTATAATACTTTCCATCACACAAAATACATTAAAAAAATACATAATTCCTGAAAGGTCATTCATTGGCACCCTGTTCCCTATTTAGTGCACTAATTTTGACCAGGCTCCATAGGGTTCTGGTGAAAGTAGTGTAATATATAGGGAATAGGGTGCCATTTGGGATGTTCACTTAGTGTTGCCGGGGGACATGGAGTACTTTTTAAGGTTTACTAGCCAAAAGGGACATCAGTACAGCAATGTGATGGCTGCAGATGCAGGACACTTCTTCACACCCTCAAGGCACTTTAAACTCAACAACACAACAACACAACAGTGACAATCTTGAATTCATTTTGTTTGGTTTCCTGTTAAAACATCCAAAAGATCCTCAATCTTTATCGGACTGTGTGTGCAACATGTTTTTGCCAGATTAAGACTTGGCTTACTTCTCAAACTATATATTTTGCTGTCTGGATTATGTTATATAAAATACATTTATTAAAAGACACAATAAGAAAATGAAGGAGATATTCTACTATGAACTGTGAACCAATCACTCTTCTGATTTTGTCTCCGTCTCGTTTCACACATGTCCATAATATCTCACAACCCCACAACCGTGTCTGTTACGTCCCAAATAGCACCATATTCCCCTATATAGTACACTACTTTTGATTAGGGCCCATATGGCTCTGCTCAAAAGTAGTGCACTATATAGGGAATAGGGTGCCACTTGGGACATAGACCCAACTGTCCCCTTCCCCCTACCCCTCGCTCTTTGGCTTGATGAGGTGTCCATTGAAAGTGATGTAGGTATCAAAGTCATCGCTGAATATGGCGTTCTCTCGCTCCCCTTTGAACAGCCTGACCCACACCTGGTCATCTCGCTCCAGTTGTAGCATCAGGCTCTGGCTCTGCATGATGCTCCGGTCACTGGGCTGAGCGTACAGGATCACCACCTCCCTCTCGTTATGCATCACGTGCACATACGTCTCCTTCTGGTTCCACGTGTGCACATTCAGGCTGAAGTAGTAGATCCCCGGCACGTAGCAGTAGAACTTGCCGGTGAACATGTTGAAGTGGCCGTAGAGGTTGACTAGCTCGGTGTCGAACACTAAGGTCTGGTAGTAGTCGTTGGAGTGGATGGCCTTCTTGCGGCCCACGGAGAAGGCAGCGTATTGGACCTTGCAGGGTTCACCCTGGGTTCCTATGCTCCCCTTGGTGCCCTTGATGCCATTGGGCCCTCGGGGGCCGGACTGGCCGGACTTGCCGGATTTACCGTAGGGTCCTCGCTGGCCGCTGTCCCCCTTCTCACCTGGAGGAGGAAGAAGTAGAAATGTTAGAAAAACTCCAGCACATGCAATTTTTCCGCTGCACATCTATTGTTAACGTTTCTGAGACCTTTTTCAAGGCATTAAGAAGAGAATACCTCAGGTCAGTGGATGCAGTCAAAGTTCATGATTTATGTCAAGACTACAGATAAATTATTGTGTTTGTGTCTGACACAGATTTGCCCACTGCTTTGCATAGCTAGCGATCATTCACCATATAAGTTACAGTACCACATCTGTTTTCACATTCTCAGCATCCAATACATATACAGTGAGGGAAAAAAGTATTTGATCCCCAGCTGATTTTGTACGTTTGCCCACTGACAACGACATGATCAGTCTATAATTTTAATTGTAGGTTTATTTGAACAGTGAGAGACAGAATAACAACAAAAAAATCCAGAGAAACGCATGTCAAAAATGTTATAAATTGATTTGCATTTTAATGAGGGAAATAAGTATTTGACCCCTCTGCAAAACATGACTTAGTACTTGGTGGCAAAACCCTTGTTGGCAATCACAGAGGTCAGACATTTCTTGTAGTTGGCCACCAGGTTTGCTCACATCTCAGAAGGGATTTTGTTCCACTCCTCTTTGCAGATCTTCTGCATGTCATTAAGGTTTCGAGGCTGACGTTTGGCAACTCGAACCTTCAGCTCCCTCCACAGATTTTCTATGGGATTACGGTCTGGAGACTGGCTAGGCCACTTCAGGACCTTAATGTGCTTCTTCTTGAGCCACTCCTTTGTTGCCTTGGCTGTGTGTTTTGGGTCATTGTCATGCTGGAATACCCATCCACGACCCATTTTCAATGCCCTGGCTGAGGGAAGGAGGTTCTCACCCAAGATTTGACGGTACGTGGCCCCGTCCATCGTCCCTTTGATGCGGTGAAGTTGTCCTTTCCCCTTAGCAGAAAAACACCCCCAAAGCATAATATTTCCACCTCCATTTTTGACGGTGGGGATGGTGTTCTTGGGTTCATAGGCAGCATTCCTCCTCCTCCAAACACAGCGAGATGAGTTGATGCCAAAGAGCTCGATTTTGGTCTCATCTGACCACAACACTTTCACCCAGTTCTCCTCTGAATCATTCAGATGTTCATTGGCAAACTTCAGACGGGCCTGTATATGTGCTTTCTTGAGCAGGGGGACCTTGCGGGCGCTGCAGGATTTCAGTCCTTCACGGCGTAGTGTGTTACCAATTGTTTTCTTGGTGACTATGGTCCCAGCTGCCTTGAGATCATTAACAAGATCCTCCCGTGTAGTTCTGGGCTGATTCCTCACAGTTGTCATGATCATTGCAACTCCACGAGGTGAGATCTTGCATGGAGCCCCAGGCCGAGGGAGATTGACAGGTCTTTTGTGTTTCTTCCATTTGCGAATAATCGCACCAACTGTTGTCACCTTCTCACCAAGCTGCTTGGCGATGGTCTTGTAGCCCATTCCAGCCTTGTGTAGGTCTACAATCTTGTCCCTGACATCCTTGGAGAGCTCTTTGGTCTTGGCCATGGTGGAGAGTTTGGTTGCTTCTGTGGACGGGTGTCTTTTATACAGGTAGCAAACTGAGATTAGGAGCACTCCCTTTAAGAGTGTGCTCCTAATCTCAGCTCGTTACCTGTATAAAAGACACCTGGGAGCCAGAAATCTTTCTGATTGAGAGGGGGTCAAATACTTATTTCCCTCATTAAAATGCAAATCAATTTATAACATTTTTGACATGCGTTTTTCTGGATTTTTTTGTTGTTATTCTGTCTCTCACTGTTCAAATAAACCTACCATTAAAATTATAGACTGATAATTTCTTTGTCAGTGGGCAAACGTACAAAATCAGCAGGGGATCAAATACTTTTCCCCTCACTGTAACGTGGCAGATACAAATACCCACAGCTGTTGTCCCCTCTCCTAACCCACTGGTTCCCAAACATGTTTTCTACCAAAGCCTTTAATCACCTCATCATTATCCCCCAAGACACAGCCTGAGTCCCAAATGGCACCCTATTCCTTATATAGTGTACTTCTTTTGACCAGGGCCCATAGGCACTATGTATTGAATAGGGTGCCATTTGGAATGCAGATGCAGTCCAGTCTTAAAGCTGAGACCCAGTAGAAACTTTTCACAACCCACCAGTGAGGCCTAACCCACTACTTTTTCTAACCCTGGGAAACAATTTACTAACCCACAAACCCAAAGCTTTTGTCCCGTCTCATCTTTGTGGAGAGTCACCAAGCTCACCCTGCTTGCCACAGACCCTGCATGCCTGTGTGGTTTATCCTGACCCTGAACTGATCTTGGCAGAGACATTATTCTGGTTACAAAGGTATGAGAGTCTCGCTGACTCTCGAAAGCCTTGTGTGCAGTTGCTAGTTGCGACCTTCAGCTGCTAACTTCAGACCCATTTGCTATTCGACCCTTTAAGGCAAGTGAACCAATCTGCTTTCTGCTACACTGGACCACTCATTTGATGTTCTTGTGCAACCTTTTAAATGGAAAGTGCTGTTCCCTAGTGATTCAGATGCTGCAAACGGTTGAAGTTAAATTCAAGTTAATTGCGTCCACCAACCAGCTCTCTCTAGAAATTGAGCCTGGGAACAAGGTTAAGTTTAAGTACATCAATTCAAGTTCCTTAACTTGAACTTAACTTAATGTGGTAGTGAGTAGTAGTGCAGGTGACCCACCTACCTTTGAGGATGGTGATGTTGATCTGTGGCACTGCCTGGTACTGTGGGTACTGTTGTGGGTAGTGGGGGTTGGCATACTGAGGAGGGGGCTGCTCTCCAGGGTCACAACACCGCAGACAGTCTTTACCCCTTACCTCACTACCAGGGGCCATAGAAAACAATGTCAATACATCCCAAATAGCACCCTATTCCCTATTTTATGCAATACTTTTGGCCCATATAGGGAGCCTGGTCAATGGTAGTGCACTATATAGGTAATATGGTGGCGCGGCAGGTAGCTTAGTGGTTAAGAGCGTTGTGCCAGTAACCGAAAGGTCGCTGGTTCAAATCCCCGAGCCGACTAGGTGAAAATTCTGTCGATGTGCCCTTGAGCAAGGCACTTAACCCTAATTGCTCCTGTAAGTCGCTCTGGATAAGAGTATCTGCTAAAAGACTAAAATGTTAAATGTATGGTGCCACTTGGACAGGTAGTATCAGAGGGGTAGTATGCAGTAGTACCTGGCATCTCTGTGGTAGACCCTGGGGTTTGTCCTGGGGTCTGTCCTGTGGTCTGTTCTCTCTCTGTTCTGATCTTGTTCCTGGTCGTAGGGGGTCCGGTAGGGTTCGCCTGAGACCACCAACAGGAGCAGTACCACCCACGCACACAGGGCAGAGGGAGGCCACCCACCCTGCACTGTCATCTTCAGGAAACAGGAAGTGACATCAGTCATGATCAGGAAGTGATTGAGCTCATATGGTAAGGAACCTCATATATTCTCCAATGTACTTTGACAAGGAAGTGAGGAGAGAGGACACATGGAATTAAGGAGATACAATTGAGATTCATCCATAGATTTTGTTAATGGTTGTTTTGCACTTTAGTTTTGCTATGAATAGTCCTTTCTTTAGGACAGTGATTACTACATTTTTGGTGAAGTTGGGGACAGACCCAGTGTCTCTGGAGACAGAGTGGTTTGGCCTGCTACATATGGTGTTTATGGGATAAACCAAACACCTATATTCTCATCTATTTTCACTTGGATGGTTATGACACCTCATTATGACAAACAACAACAGAGTGTGCGTCCCAAATGTCACTATATAGTGCACTATGTTTTACAAGGGCTCTGGTCAAAAGTAGTGCACTATATAGGGAATATAGTGCAATTTGAGACGGAGACAGACTGTATTCTCAGAGTAAAAAATAAATAAATAAACACACATTTCCACACATCAGCCTAACTCAAGAGAAAATATGCTGGAGAATATGATTGTCTTTGAACTTCCTTAAAGCTAGAATCCTTAGTTGCTACATCCATTTTTGGACTTATAAATTATAAATTATGTACCCAATGATTCTTGAAGAATATAACTTACAAGGGCAATTCCAAGGTAACGGAATTGCGCTGAGACTCAGGTTTTCACTTAAAATGTATGCCAAACAAAACCCATTGATTTCAAAGTTTAACAAACCATACAACTCTATGCACAATAACTACTTTTAACATTTTACACTGAACATTTTACAAAAACACATTTACTGGAAGAACTGTGCTGATGCAAAGTTTGGTAACAGAATCTCTGTAAAATCTCCCTCAGTTTTTTATGTGTCCATGTTTTTCAAAAACTCTGATAAATATCTGCTCCGAATTGGTCCTCTGTAGCTCAGCTGGTAGAGCACGGCGCTTGTAACGCCAAGGTAGTGGGTTCGATCCCCGGGACCACCCATACACAAAAAAAATGTATGCACGCATGACTGTAAGTCGCTTTGGATAAAAGCGTCTGCTAAATGGCATATTATTATTATTATTATTATTAATTAAGATTCAATTATGTCTGCAGAAAGAATGGGGTGTCAGCTATGACATGACACATTGACATATAAAAAATCAATTTTGGTTATTGAACTACAGTAAGTGAAGTGGATTTACACCCGGTAAGGGAATTGCGGTAACGGAATGTAATAATCTGTCCATGATTGGTATTACACAGAAATGCATAATTATCATTTTCTTCATGGTGATGTATCCTAAATAGGTACACAAAGGTATAAATATGCAATATCCTCCTTTGCGTATTTGGGTATTATTCTACACACTGGCTATTATTTTAATGGCTCTGTCCCCAAACAAGACCAAATTTGGTTGGTCTGGACCGGACCAAATCTGAACCAATCATAGACATCTATGTTTCACATCAAAGTACAGCACAGTAGAGCTCAGTACAGTAGAGTACAATAGAGTAGAGTAAAGTAGAGTGTAGTTCAGACAGTACAGTAGAGTTAGTACAGTACAGCAGAGTAAAGTAGATTATAGTACAGTACAGTACAATACAGTAAATAGTGTATCAACTCTAGTGCGCTCTACTGTGTATTTTACTGAACTCTACTCTACTGTACAGAACAGTACTGTACTGAACTACACTTTACTTTTCTTTACTGCACTGTACTCCACTTTGCTGTACTGTACTGTACTGTGTTGTCTAAACTTGTGAACCAAACTGTGGTTTGTGACTACTACTGATATTATTTCCCAGTGTAGCCAATTCAATTGCAGAAATTCAATTACTGATTTTTCGGAAATTCCATTAACGATTTGGTAAAGGCATATCAAGTTTTAATTACTTAAGAATTCATAAACAAAATGTATATTAGTAAAAACACTATAACTAATTGATGATCTACCTTTATTTCTTACTTCTGTGAACTTTCATTATCCTCCCTCGTCATGAGGGAGAGAAATTTGAAAATAACTTAAAGATATATGGGTTTTTGGTAATGGAATTTCAAGGCACAAGCCAATGTTTCTTAAAGTTACAGAAGACAGAAACATTTCTCCCAAATAAAATATAAGTGTTGATATTAGTTGGCAGCAGACCTGGGCAGAAAATTGTATTTTATAGTTTATTTGAAAATACTAACTTTTCAAATACTCGAGGTAGTCGAATATAGAGAATCAACTAAAGGCAACTATTGGCAACTATTTCCTTTGATATTCAAATACAGGTTTCAGAAAAATTAATAATATTTTAAAGTATTTTGAATACCTCTCAGGAAAACAAATAATATTTGAAGGTATTTGAATATATGCAACTTATATAAAAAAATATATATGTATATATATATATATACAGTACCAGTCAAAAGTTTGGACACACCTACTCATTCAAGGGTTTTTCTTTATTTGTACTATTATCTATATTGTAGAATAATAGTGAAGAGATCAAAACTATGAAATAACACACATGGAATCATGTAGTAACCCAAAAAGTGTTAACCAAATTTGAGAATCTTCAAAGTAGCCACCCTTTGCCTTGATGACAGCTTTGCACACTCTTGGCATTCTCTCAACCAGCTACATGAGGTAGTCACCTGGAATGTATTTCAATTAACAGGTGTGCCTTGTTAAAAGTTAATTTGTGGAATGTCTTTCCTTCTTAATGCGTTTGAGCCAATCAGTTGTATTGTGACAAGGTAGGGGTGGTATACAGAAGATATCCCTATTTGGTAAAAGACCAAGTCCATATTGTGGCAAGAACAGCTCAAATAAGCAAAGAGAAATGACAGTCTATCATTACTTTAAGAAATTAAGGTCAGTCAATATGGAACATTTCAAGAACTTTTAAAGTTTCTTCAAGTGTAGTCGCAAAAACCATCAAGCGCTACAAATGAAACTGGCTCTCATGAGGTCCGCCACAGGAAAGGAAGACCCAGAGTTACCTCTGCTGCAGAGGATAAGTTCATTAGAGTTAACTGCACCTCATATTGTAGCCCAAATAAATGCTTCACGGAGTTCAAGTAACAGACACATCTCAACATCAACTGTTCAGAGGAGACTGCATGAATCAGGCCTTCATGGTCGAATTCCTGCAAAGAAACCACTACTAAAGGACACCAATGAGAAGAAGAGACTTGCTTGGGCCAAGAAACACGAGCAATGGACATTCGACCGGTGGAAATCTGTCCTTTGGTCTGATGAGTCCAAATTGGAGATTTTTGGTTCCAACCGCCGTGTCTTTGTGAGATGCAGAGTAGGTGAATGGTTCCCACATTGAAGCATGGAAGAGTAGGTGTGATGGTGTGGGTGTGCTTTGCTGGTGACACTGTCATTGATTTATTTAGAATTCAAGGCACACTTAACCAGCATGGCTACCACAGCATTCTACAACGATACGCCATCCCATCTGGTTTGCGCTTAGTGGGACTATCATTTGTTTTTCAACAGGACAATGACCCAAACACACCTCCAGGCTGTGTAAGGGCTATTTGACCAAGAAGGAGAGTGATGGAGTATTGCATCAGATGACCTGGCCTCCACAATCACCCGACATCAACCCAATTGAGGTGGTTTGGGATGAGTTGGACCGCAGAGTAAAGGAATAGCAGCCAACAAATGCTCAGCATATGTGGGAACTCCTTCAAGACTGTTGGATGCTGGATGAGAGAATACCAAGAGTGTGAAAAGCTGTCATCAAGGTAAAGGGTGGCTACTTTGAAGAATCTAAAATCTAAAATATATTTTGATTTGTTTAACACATTTTGGGTTACTACATGTTTCCGTATGTGTTATTTCATAGTTTTGATGTCTTCACTATTATTCTACAATGTAGAAAATAGTAAAAATAAAGAAAAACCATTGAATGAGTAGGTGTGTCCAAACTTTTGACTGGTACTGTATATATCGAGAGATATATACACTGAACAAAAATGTAAACGCAACATGTAAAGTGTTGGTCCCATGTTTCATGAGCTGAAATAAAAGTTCCCAGAAATGTTCCATACGCAGAAAAAGCTTATTTCTCTCAAATTTAGTGCACAAATTTGTTTACATCCCTGTTAGCGAGCATTTGATCCTTTGTCAAGATAATCCATCCACCTGACAGATGTGGCATATCAAGAAGCTGATTACACAGCATGATCATTTCACAGGTGCACCTTGTGCTGGGGACAATAAAAGGCCACTCTAAAATGTGCAGTTTTGTCACGCAACACAATGCCACAGATGTCTCAAGTTTTGAGGGAGCGTGCAATTGCCATGCTGACTGCAGGAATGTCCACCAGAGCTGTTTCCAGAGAATTTAATATTAATTTCTCTACCGTCGTTTTAGAGAATTGTTAGTACGTCCAACCGGCCTCACAACCGCAGACCAAGTGTACTATACCACTGATTTCCTTATAACTGTAACTCAGCAAAATCTTTGAAATTGTTGCATGTTGCATTTATATTTTTGTTCAGTATATATTTGATGGCTGCCAAATATTTGATGAAAAAAAACTAGAACAGTTAGTTTAATGCACATGGTTTGGAGGGCTTTCAGATAAGAATCTTAATAGCCTAGAATGAAATATTTAATGATTGAAGATTTTTTTTTTTTACATTAAACTGTATCAATCGAAATACTGGAAATTATTACCAATATAAACCAAACAGATTTTGTTTTATTGTTTAACATTTATTTTTTCAGCGCTTCCTTATATCATGCTTTACATTACTCTTTACATCATTGTCATAGCCTATGGTTCTTTAACGGTCATTTTAGATCTTGGTTAATCATTTAAGATGGGGATTGCATCTGATGAACATCAGGGTCTCAAATGTTTTGTCAGTCATTGAGCAACAGTCAGGCCTGAACGTTCTTCCAGTGATGCTGAAACAAACATAATTTCCTTCTTCCTCCATTAAAATGCATCTGTCCAATGCCATCAGTTATGTACTGTAGGTTCAGGTATATC